ATAGAATCCGGTCCTCGCCAGTACCAAGGTATCTCTAAGCACGACATGAAGGAGATGGGTGCTGAGGAGATTGCGAGGGCCCTCGCCATCCACAACGTACCCTGGGACCGGTCCGATGAGAAGCGGTGGGTTGTTGACTTTGTAGCTGTCTGCAAAGCTTTCCTGTAAGCCTACGACCCTAACCTTGCCTGACGCGATGTTGACCATTACAGATCATCTTGGTACCCTGCCCACTACGGCTATGCTTCGCACGCCATCAAGAACGCTTGTCAAGTGCCCCGCTCTTTCTTCGGATATCTTCGCTTTCACCGTGTCTGCCCCGAATTCGACGATCAGCTTGCCACTGCGCTCCAAATCTGTGACCAGGCCGAGCGGGAGCTTCCCAAGGTCAACTCCGTAGGTCTTGCCCTACCCGGAGACTTCAACAAGTCCGCTAGCGTTGTCTTCGGTGGCGCCCAGGCCGACATATATACTGGCGATAAGTCGTGGGCTGAGGACCTCAAGAAGGAAGGCCTGACTGTTTCCGAGATCGGTATCCGGAAGGAAGAGGCCAGGGTCAAGTTCGGTACTGGCATCGCGGTTCTGGGCTCGGATGCGCAGTACGACATGTTCGAGTCAGGAGATCTGCAGATTCTCAGCAAAGAGAATGTCTATCTTGAGGTCACCGCCATTCAACTCCCTGACGACGACACGAGGTCCGCATATGCAGAGCAGAGCAATCTCTTCAAACATAAGCTTGGCCAGCTTAAACCTCTCGGCAAGCTTGTGTGCAAGACATGGTACACAGGCGACTGTGACGAGTGGGACCTGCCCAAGGACAAGACCAAGTATCCCAACGGCAAGCCGCGCAAAGCTGGCGACGGCAAAGAGTACGAGTTCTGGATTGAGGAGGACATCATCAAGGACTGTTTCGTGGGTCTGAAGATGGATGCCAACGTCATGCATCTGTCCGGCGGCATGACCATTCTCGACGACATCAAGGAAACCATGTGCAGCTTCTATACCTGGATCCCGAACGAGCTCTGGATGGAACGGAAGCCCAAGGAAGTGCGCTGGTTGAAGAAGGGCATGGGTCTCGATGATGACGAGGATGAGGCTGAGATTGATGGCTCGAACAAGGAGAGTGCGGATAAGATCGCTTCCGACGATGAGTTTGACGATGAGTGAACGGGTAGATGAAGGAAGGCAAGCCGGTATATTCTCGCGGGGACGTTGCGATGAAACGGTAGTTCGAGATACTTTGGTCGGGTCTTGTACCCAGCTGCTTAGGGCGATTCAAGGTTTGGCTCGAAAACTAAGATTTCAAAAGGGAAATTCACGATGTTTCTCTAGTTATGCCAAGGTTCTCTGGAAATACGTAATCTATCGTGGAATCGGTGACCAGATACGGTGCATCTCAATAAACTCAGGCTAAACCCCTTGAACTTTCTCGATCTCTATTGAGTGGCGTTGATCGCGAAAGGTAGTGCATTCTGCGCTTGCGCAGGCCACAAGGACGCGCCTGTCCCATGTTTGGAGTACCTGCGCCACACCTGCCCGCCTCAGTTTCACACGAAGGCACTCGCTAGCCTTTAGCCAGGATAACACCGCAACACCCAACTTAGGCACATAGCCCAAGGCCGAACGATCCGCAGAAAATACCGTGCAACGAAGAAATGCCACGACCCCCGTTTGCATCGGGATACCACTTGGCCGCGACGACTAAACACCACAAAGACACTTGGACGACGCCTCAACACCACGCCGTGGGGTCTGGTAAGACGCGAAGTCCCGACGTGCGGCTACTTCGGCGAGCGGCCTCATTGCCAACACCTTGGCAGCGACACACGCCATGGCTTTCGTTGGTTTGCCAAGGCCACGCCGGCGGATCATGTGGTAATTCCTGACGCGTGTGCTTGCTCCTGGGCCTTTCGTTCGAGGGTGCAACCGTGAAAGAGCGAGGTACGACTACGTGTGTGTACCGAATTAATATCAAAGGGAGAGCTGCCTGGGTCGGTAGCAGTAGTGCGCGCGGCACTGCGTTGCATGGTGTGTATACCCGCATTATCCGTCTCCCGTCTCGCATTAAAGACGTAAGTGTCGCGGGTTACCCGGCCCTGCCTAGCCAGCACATGTGAGACGGACTGGGGACGTGGGAGCTGGAGGAAAGGAGACGCGCAGTGCGTGCGGAGTGGAAAGGGCCAGGGACCGCCAAGATCTTGAGTGCTCTTAGCAAGCGGAGAACGCAGGCGGGCGTGGCTTGGGTAAAACGTGCGTTACCGCCGCCTTTTGATATCTGGGTCGCTTCTCCGCTGGCTCTTTTCCCTGGTGTTCGAGCATGCCCTTTTGCGACGAGGTTGCTGTACCACGACGTTGTGGCGTTACCATCACTGCGACCGCGACTGGGACTTGAGCGACGCGCCATCGGCATTTGCGAAAGAGCGACCATCACGACTACTGGGTCTGCCGTGATCGACGAACGACTACGCTCGGGGATTAAAACAGGTGGACCTGCGGAGCGGGATATGTCTGCTAAGATGCACGTCGTGAGCGCGGTCTTAGACGCGCGATCGAGTATGGGGTTGCCAAATCGGGCTCAAGTTGGTATGTTCGTCCCCGTCTGCTACTACTCAGCAACGCAACATCGTCGCTGACCACATTGCAGCCCAAAGTTTCCTGAACCCTTACATCTACGACCCTTCTTACCCCCTGGCTATAACAGGCGCAGTTGTCGTCCTGTTACTTTCCACATATTCCATTTACCAGTATGTCCGCCACAAGGCGTACTTCTTCTGGGCAGCCATCATCGCCATTATCATGCTCGATCTGGGCTTCATATGCCGCCTGGTATCTGCCTACGACGAGCACAGAGAATCGCCCTTCCTCGCCTCATGGCTCATGATCTTGCTCGCACCCAGCTTCCTGGCTGCAGCATGCTACACGGCATTCAGTCGCGTAGTGTGGTTTTCCTGCCCAACCCACGCGCTCAACTTCAAGACGCTGTGGTGCTTCCCCAGGTGGATTACCGCCAACTTTGTGTGTTTCGACCTCCTCAGTTTCCTCGTCCAACTCGTCGGCGCGAGTCAGATTAGTCGGCAGTATGATGAAGACACGCAAGGAAACCGGACCATTGCTGCTTCTGAACGGAAAGCGCTGCCTGGGCGGATCATCCTCATCATGGGTCTGGTGATGCAACTGCTCTGTTTCCTCAGCTTCTCCATCATCAGCATGCGGTACTTCTACATCAGCCGGCATTGGGCTGCACATGACCTTGGGGATTTGCACCTTTGGCGGAAACTGGGGTATACCATCAACCTCTCCTCAGTCCTTATCGCCTGCCGGGCATTCTATCGAACCATCGAGATACCACACGATCGCAACTACGGGCTAGCATATCTCCAGAGTCACGAATGGTGCTTCTGGGTCTTCGATGCCGCGCCCATACTTGCTGTACTAGTCGTGTTCGCTGTGTGGCATCCGGGTCGGTATCTGCCGAGAAGCTATACAGGGTGCAGACTGGACAAGGGCAGGGCTGTTAAAGAGAAGGATGAGATCAGTTCGATGAACGGTGGTAGTAGTGGACGGGAGACCGAGCTGAGAGACTTCAAGCCCGAGGACTTCCAGTCTGGAAGGGTCGCAACGAACGTGTAAGATTTTGAAACGCGGATGAAGAGGTTGTTTGTTCATGATACCATTGCATTTAGCGGGAGGCGCTTTGAAGCGCCATCGGGATGATACCATACTCAATGACATAATTGAATGTCTTATTTGACTGTGTCTCTCGCCTTACTGCTCTCCGCCATGTCTGTGTTGATAGATATGTGCTTCCTTCTCAGTCCTCTGGCCGCCCAGCGTCTCCTTCGTTTCGAAGCACAGCTCCCACAACGACATGCATTGCTGGTGCACGCGACTTGTTGGCTATTCTCAGAGCCTCATACTAGAGTGGCCGCATGGCCGGTAATGTCTTGGTCGGCTCATGAACTCCAAGGAGTCTTAGGTCCTCGGGCTCGTCTCTGGATTGGTATCGGAATGTTCACCAGATGGTTATGTGCTCTCTTCATATGTCAGGCTGGTAGTGCATCCTGAACTTCTTGTTCGCGCGATCAGCCGCTCTTGTCTGAAATTGTTCGGCGTTGAGCTCAAAGACCAGTGGCTTCATGGGCTCCTTTCCTTCTTCGACTGGAAGCGGCAACTCAAAGCGGATGATAGTGTGTTCCTTGGGTATAGCTGAGATTGTCAGATACTTACCACTTACCTGAGTCTAGCCTACAGAACTTACATTTCACAGCGTTGTTCTTCGTGATGATCTCGAATGTGAATCTCGTATCACGGACGATGATGCCCTCCAGGCCTACACGGCTCACGCAGCGGCTTCTCACCACACTCACGAGTGCACCATGCATGTCGGCCGTCGCAAGCAGTTGCCCACTTGCGTTTGGCGTGACGAGCACATTCCTCGCAGCGTCGTTCAGGCCTAGCACCTCCCGCATGTAACCCACCCACAAATTGTGTAATCCGTCGTAGATGGCATACTTCTGTTGCTCCTTGGGTATCTCGTTCAGGCACAGTGCACGTTTCTTTGCAGCGGACAGCGGACGAGGCTGGTTTTTGCTGCGCTTCCTGGCGGCTTGGTTGCGCTCGTTGAGAGCGCGGCGGCGGACTGCGCGTGCAGACGGCGTAGGCGAGGTTGCGCGAACGTGGAGGGGGCGCTTTATGACGCGCTCGTGGTAGTGTGCTTCTGCAGTTGAGGGAGAGAATGCGCGATGCAGCAGCGTCTGCGCAATATGTGGATTTGCGTCTGCCATTTCGAGTTCGGTATCGCAGTAGCAAAAGTCGCAACTCGTCGGGAAGTGCGAAGTTGGTGTTCTTCGACATGACGAGGAAGACGGCGGCACTAGTGCGCACAAAAGCGGGCTAGAGCGGTGGCTCGGCTATCGTTTTGTCCGCGCTGCCTCCCACACAATTTCGACAATTCGACCTCAGCTTCTCGACAACACCGCTAACCCGCAGCAACCGTCAAGATGAAGTACATGTACGTCTATCCCTCGATCACGACTCCCAAGCCGCCGCATCGCACGTTTTTCCCTGCCTCCGAACGGTCAATGGACGCCTCTTTACCGAACTTCTCCGCCAACAAACATCAAATTCCGGATCCAATGCTGACGTTTGCGCAACAGCCACTCTGAGGAAGAGCTCGAGATCCCCGAGGGCGTCAAGGTCCAGATCAAGAACAGAAATGTTCTCGTTGAGGGTGAGTGCGCATGGTAGAGGACCCCTAGAGAAACAACACTGACATATCCAACAGGCCCTCGCGTAAGCCGCCCGCAATAGCCTCTACGATCCTCGAACCGATTCTTACACTCCACAGGGCAAGCTCACAAAGTCTCTCGGTCACTTGGCGGTCAGCTTCACGCACGTACGTTTGGAACACACACATCGCATCGGGGGCATATGCTAAGACTGGAACAGCCCAAGAAGAACCTCATCAAGATCGAGCTCCACCACGGTTCCCGCAAGAGCGTCGCCACCCTCCGCACTGTCCGCACCCTGATTGTACGTCGCGCGCACCCTCGAGTCTATACTGGCAAGGAAGGAAGGACTGGGCTGACTGGAGTAGAACAACTTGATCATCGGTGTCACCAAGGGTTACAAGTACAAGATGCGTTACGTATATGCCCAGTATGTCGCACCCATCGCACATCTCTTCCGAGCCCGCCGCTGAGCATGTTCTATCCGACACAACTTTCAGCGCTCTCCGAGAGGCTGATGCCAGAGCGCTGGGCGCGCCAGATTGGCTCATGCTCGTGGCGGGCGTTTGCACATCGTTGAACATGACTAACACCATGTCCAGTTTCCCCATCAACGTCAACCTGGACAAGAACAAGGAGACCGACTGCTGGGAGGTTGAGATCAGGAACTTCATCGGCGAGAAGCTCGTACGAAGGGTCGTCATGAGGCCCGGTGTTGAGGTTGAGGCATCAAAGAACCAGAAGGATCAGCTCGAGCTGTCCGGAAACGTAAGGACCGCCGCGCAACATGTATTGAAGCAATGCTAACCACCACCCAGTCGCTCGAGGACGTCTCCCAAGGTGCCGCCGATATCCAGCAAATCTGCAAGGTCCGCAACAAGGATATCCGAAAGTTCTTGGACGGTCTGTACGTGTCGGAGCGCGGCAACATCGTTGAGGACGCGTAAACGGTTCTGGGGAGTACGGGTTTCTTTACGGGCAATGAGCATCTATGAACTTCTCTGCATCATATGCGGTTGGCGCCTGGGGGTCTAAGATCAAAAACGATGTTCAAACAATACCACCATGACTTGATGGAATCGCGCCGGCACATTCACGATGAAGTGTGAGGTGATGAGAGGTCAATAAGATCAGTACTTGCCAAGAGACATGAACGATCTAAACTCACTTCAACACAACTGCGACTGCTTTTTGGCCTTTGGTGATGTTGCATGGTTTGAGCCCGTGCCTGAGGAGTCCAGCGTAGCACATTACGAATGAGATCACATTACGAGTAAGCATGAATTTGATCATCATTCGGTTCCATCTCTCGACCCATGCACGAAGAGACGCCTCCTGCCTCTTTTGGCGTCTGGACTATCCGCGGATGTGGGATTTCCACATGACGTATCCATGGCGGCTCGTCGTGCCTGAACCCCGCATCATTGCTCGTTGTAGTTTCTACCACCGGGATAATGATGAGGCTATCGCCGCAAAGCCCGACAATGACAGCTCATTGTAACCTCGATTGGAAAGCAGGCGGTACAGGCACGGCGAAAGTGCCGTCATGGCGAAATATATGAGTAAGGTGTCGCCCATACAGCTGTTGGTTTATTCACACCTCAGTTGCTTGCCCCGCCACAGCCCTGCGAAACATCAAGCACCCCACTAAACACCAGTCTGCAACCGATCCACAGATTTACGACCATGGCGGACAAGCTCGATATTGAAGGGCTCCTCAAGGAGTCCAAGGCTGAATATAAGCGCTTGGGAAAGAGCGGTCTTAAGGTCTCGGTACCCATCTTGGGTGCTATGAGCATTGGAAGTTCTAAATGGCAGCCCTGGGTCATCGAAGAGGAAGAGTCGCTACCGCTGCTGAAGGCTGCATACGATCGCGGTCTGACGACTTGGGATACAGGTAAGACTGACAGAACAGTCACGTACTTGCAACAGTTACTGACAGCTTATAAAGCCAATGTTTACTCCAATGGTGTCTCTGAGGAACTGGTCGGCAAGGCCATCAAGAAGTACAACCTACCTCGCGACAAGCTAGTAATTCTCACCAAATGCTTTGGCTACGTCGGCGAGGACCCCGGTCTGCGAACCATCCAGTACGGCAAAGAGCTGCCTCAATTGAAAGACTATGTAAACCAAGGTGGTCTCTCACGACAGGCCATCTTCAACGCTGTCAATGCATCGCTCAAGCGTCTTGACATGGATTATATCGATCTTCTGCAGATCCACCGCTTCGACCCAAACACGCCTCTCGAGGAGACCATGGAGGCGCTGCACGACCTGGTCAAGAGTGGGAAAGTTCGATACATCGGTGCCAGCTCTATGTGGGCAGTGCAGTTTGCGCAAATGCAGTTCACTGCCGAAAAGAACGGCTGGACGAAGTTCATCAGCATGCAGAACCACTACAACCTGCTCTACCGCGAGGAAGAGCGCGAGATGAACCGATTCTGCAATGACACTGGTGTTGGTCTGATCCCGGTATGCTTCCCTTCCAACTACAAAGCCAATCTTTGCTAATAGCTTGATAGTGGGCACCTCTTTGCCGTGGCCATCTCGCTCGCCCTCCCTCTGCATTCGGCTCGACCACTCGTTCAGAAGGCGAACAGAAGGCCGGTAACCAAACCTCTGGCAACACTGAACGTGACAAGAAGATAATTGCTCGCGTTGAAGAGATCGCGAAGAAGCACGACTGGAAAATGAGTCACGTTGCCCTCGCATGGATCAACAAGCGTGTGGCAAGTCCGATCATCGGCTTCTCCAGCACAGACAGGATGGATGAAGCGCTTGCAGCGAGGGGCAAGGAGTTGACTGAGGAGGAGGAGAACTACCTCGAGGAGCTGTACGAGCCCGTGAGGATTGTTGGGCATTCATAGGCAAGCCATGCAGCAACATCGATGATAGCGGTCGAAGCCAACAAGCGATATATCAATCAATATTGCGGTGTCAAAGGCGAGGTTATCCTTCATCTATATTGCTTTTTCAAGTGAGTAATTACAGAGTTCAAATGGATACCTAGTTACCTAGGCAGCCCAGATCATCTTGCGAAAGTGGATAGTCCAGTAGAATGCTGACATGCATCTCCGCGTGGACCTTGAGCCCTTGCAGTAATCAAGTGGATCTCTGATTCACTCGGACCGCATTAGGGCCCGGAGCTGAGATGATACGCGTCGATGCGCGCTTTGTCCAGCCGCCGAGCGGCCAATGACGTCGGTCACGCGATCTATCTCACCACCGTGCCTGATGCTCCGGAGCACCAACATAACGGCAATAGATGCTTGGGAAGGTCAAAATGCGAACATCGAGGCTCAATTGCTAGCTTCTACACTATCTCGAGCTCTTTTGACCAACAATGTGAGATGGGCACGCAGGCTTCCACCGTTGGTTTGCTCCTTCCCCGCATTCTGGGTGATGCTCCCCTTCCCCGCATTGGCCCGACCATTCACGTCTCACGCCGATTGGATTGGACCACAATGTGGTGATCGATCAAGTGACCGTCTCCTGTGCCTGCCGGCGAGAGACTGAGCCCCTCATAAGCTGCGCCCTCCCTCGTTTCCTCTCCTTCCTCACAGCCTCCACTGTGCTTTCGTATCTCACATCACATCCACAGCTCTAGGCAACCCTTCTACAGCTTCCCAAGCTCTTTCATCATCTACAACCCCTTCAATCTTCCAGTAGCTTGACTGCAACTGCATCCTACCACAATGGCCGCAGAGACAGAAAACACGCTCCAGAAGGTCGACTCTTTGACCGATCACCAAGATGGCGCCGCTAAGAAGGGCCACCGCAGAGTCAGCTCCATGGCTGCTGATGTCTACCGCATCGAGGATCTGGGTGAGTACCTCTTGTGACGATAGCCCAAATGAGGGGTCGTGCGTGAGCAGCGGGCGGGGCTGACAGAACCTCAGAGAAGGAAGGCAAGAAGATCGAGATCGCACTCGAAACCCAGAAGCTGAACTGGTAAGTGATTCCCCTCATCGCATTGTTGCGAGCCATCCGACCATGATGCAGACCAGCTCGTCGTCGTCCGGATAGCTCCGGCAGCCCCAATATCTTGACCGTGCTAATGCAGTACTTCCAGGAAGCTCAACAAGTCGCCGAGCACCGTCGAAGACCCGTCAGTCTTGAAGATGCCACTCACCGAGCCCAAGCTCAAGTCCATCGCTCTACACTTCCCGCTAGGATTAGAAGTTACCGCACGGAACATGAAGGGTGTAACCATCAAGGACGCACTAGATGCCATCCACAAGCAGTTCAAGAAGCGCGTAAGTGTCCCTTGTCATTGGATCTTACCATCGAGCATCGTTGTCGCTGTTCCTATATACCGCGTACTTTGATCTTGATGCCAAAGCATAGCTAACCCTCCTATAGGCAGACGACGAGTTCGAGAAGCCATACCTCATGGGCTTTGAGTGGGACCCAGAAGAGTGCTACACCCGCTTCATCGTCCACCAGTCGGCCGTTCCTACAGTAAAGAATGACTTCGGCTCAAGCAAGAAGAAGAAGAAGAACAAGGCCGAAGGCGAGGAGGGTTCCTAGATGAACGACTCGCCCCCTTCCCTGACGTCGACTTCTACACACAGCCTCAGTCATACTTCCGTGCTTCGGCGCTGGTATGTGCGGGGTACGGATAACTCGGGTGCTGGTCAATCTTCATATCGATATGGGAAGAGCGAGCGCATCTGCCGCGGTGGCGTGTCTGGTATACTGTAGGCCTGCGTAGGTAGGCGGTTTACTGGTTGCGGGTATCGAGCGGTGGATGCGTCGTGGAACCGTTCGTGGGGTACTTGCTGAAGGGCAGTACCCGCTTATGTATGCTCTCGGGCACTCTTTGAGGTTGCTGGAAAGCACTTCATACAATGAGAAGACCTGGTTACATGTCATGTCCTCGAAGCTGTCTGTGATGTTGTTTGTAAAGGTTTGACGTTGACTTGGGCGGACCCACCCTACTGCGGGCAGCTCTCCACCACGCTGTAAGCGAAGACACGCGGGCACGTTGCGGCTTCCGCGATCACAATTGACTGTCCCTCCATACCTTCTATGAACGCGTCCCATGTATGCGACTCATTGGGTGTTCATTTATCGCATCTAGTAGTATCGCATGTGCGACACGACATGTGCCTATGATGGCCGCTCAGCTGTCCTCAAATGGGGTAGCAAGTAGCCTTGCATTGGTAGCGCTGCAAGCGCTGGCGTTTCAGCACCCTTAGCATAAACCTTTGTCCTTCGACACCGTATTTTGAACATCAACTAAGCAGTCTCGCTACCTCATCTAATCGAATTTGTTTCTTTACACACGAACCCAGACGCCTATATACGTAGCCTACGCTCAAACGTTGTGCGTGCAACATAGCCTAGCAGGAGACCTACATACCGCCACAACAAACCAGCTCCCGGGACCCGCCTGTGTTTACTATCTGGAAACCGCGTCCATCAAATCGTATATACATACCAATGCGATGTTCACAAACCTCCAGATAAGGCCTGCCAAGACCCGACGCCGCAAGCCTAGCTTGTCCATTCGGGCTGGCGTCTCAAAGCGCAGGGTTTCCACTGTTTCGGCATTAAGTGCAAGCATCGTTCCGTCTGTGAGTTTCATGGAAGGACTGTTTGGCGATGAGTTTCCCGAGGCCTTTGGGAGCGGGGCCCAGAACAGGAAGACCATCACGGACTTGCCATCGGAACTTCTCGAAATCGTGTGCCAACACATCTCGAAGCTCGACATCAAGCGACTGCGGCTCACGAGCAAGCATTTGGCGGCCAGCGTGTATCTGCGCATAGATCGCGTCTATGTCTCGCCTAATCGAGCTAATCTGGACTATCTGCATCAGATCATGGCTCACCCGACGTACAAAAACCGTGTGCTCGAGATTGTCTGGGATGATGCCTTGCTCAATGAGTATTCAACTTTGGATGAATTCCGCCAAGCTGTTCTCGCCGACGAAAGAGAGGTTAC